GGGGTAACGTGCCGCCACCACCCCGAGAGTGGACTGTCTCGGCCCTGTATCCTTGGGGAAACACAGGCCTAATAGTCCTACGGGTACTCGACCCAATACAGGCACTTGGGGCACTTCCCCAAGTCCGGGGGCAAAAAGGAAAGTCTCCCTTAGTCCGCAGACCTAAGGGGTCTCTTAGGCATAATTTAGACCCACCCCTCAATAAGTGTTTGTTTTTTTTTTTAAATGATCAAAGCTACAAGGCTGATAGCGGAGCCTCCTGCTAGTCACTTTAAGTGCCTAGAATATGGTTCGGCATAGTGTCCATCTTGTGCCACGTGTTCTACACTCAGGAAGTCTGCCCAGCACTAAGACTATGTCTAGACTGCAAAAGTATCATGCCTGGCAGCAGTGCTCTCAAACACACCTCCAGGCTCTTCGGGCACCAAGCAACCCAGAGGGGAGTAGCTATGTCCATGGGGCAGCAGCAAGAGAGGGCTGATTAGCACGGCCGAGTGTCAGTGCCTGAGTCCTCTGTGTTTGGGGAATTTCAGCAACTCCTACAGCAGCCCATCACTGTCTTTACCTTGGCAACTCCATGACTCTGCTGAAAGCTAAAGCCCTGGGACTCTAAGCCACGGTGCAGGAGGAGGAAAAGCAAGGGGATTGTTCTTTGCACTGATCTAGGCACAGCTATCACAATGTTCACTGCATCTCAGAGAAGGAACCCTGGAGTTGTTTGCACCTCTTGTTTGAAGCGTCCCAGGGTGTCAGAGCAGAAAGTGTGCAAGGGGAAGGCATGGGTTGGCAATTGGCTGTCCTTCATGTCCTGACTGGGCACTGGTGCCAGCCCACAAGCCATGCATTTGTCATGGCAACCTTGCCTAAATCTCTGCGTGGTCCTCAGCTGGCCGGCAGGAGCAGCTGCGTGGGAGCAGGTTGGACAGGCAGAAAGACAGCTGATCCCCTTGGGCTGGCAGCAAATGGCTCAACAGCTGCATGGCTAAGGTTTGTTAATCTGGCCCTGAAAGAGACTCCAGACAAGATAGATGGCAAGCGGCGGTGATTGTGGAGCACTGGAACAAGCTTCTTGTAATCGAAGAACATCCTCAAGAACCCAGGCGGGGCTAGGAGGAAGTGGAGTGTCTGGACATGATACAGGGGAATCTCATTCCAGACCCTTGGCGCACACAGAACCTGGGCTCCATCGCAGCCCCAAGCCCCTTGTGACTACAGTGCAGCTAAGCACATGCAGGCCTAGGCCCAAGATGCTTACTTGGTCCTCATTCAAGCAGTTAGCATTTCCCATCACCTTCTGCAGGAATGCAGAATGAAGGTGAGCCTGGGCATTAATTTTGTACCATGGGAAAACCAGGAGCTCCTCTGATCCCATGCAGTGCTGAGTGCCCTTTAGTCCCAGCAGAAACAGAAAGATATGGCTCTAGTCCAGAGCCCCATGAGGGTGGTAGCACCCCTTTTACTCACCTACACCATGGGGGGAAAATGCATAATGAGTCTACTCCCTTTGTAGCATAAAATCACTACTCTTGCTCTCAGGGGAACACAGGGGCTATGGCTATAGCAGAATGCCATCTCTGTCTGTCCCCAAACTCTGCTATCAGGCGGATACCTAATCTGACAATTTGGCTACCATGGTCACTGCAGAGGGCAGACACCCCTGGCCCCATCAGCTTCAGGTAACCCTGGGTTGTAACCTGAGTTGGATATATTCCTGAGGGAGAGGGAAGCCTGCTCCCTCTGCCTATGTGACTGGCCTCACACACTTGGGCGGGGACTTAAACTCCCCATTCTTCTAAGCAATGTCATCATAACTGGGAGGGGGCTAGAGACCCTGACAGTCTACCTGGCAACCAGTGATGCATTTCAAATTGGTTGGCTGGCAGCCAACAGCTGCTGGCCTTCATTGGCTCAGGTAAATGAGGTCATAAGGTAAATTAAGGACTGCCCAGGAGGTGGAGGCAGCAGCCATGATGAGAACTCTCAGAGAAGCTGGACCATCTGAAACACACTCTCCCTTGAAACTCATGTTCAATGAACTGTTTGCCTTTAGAGGGAATCTCCACCTGCCTCAGGAAGATACTTGTGAGTAAGCTACTTGAGATCTAAGTACAGGCAGTCCTCGACTTACAATGTTTCAAGTTACAACGTTTCACACTTACGACGTTTATAAATTGACACCCTGTTTCAACTTTACCATGCCAGTTTCGACTTGCAACCCTTGATCTGACCCGATGCAATGCCATGCCAATGAACAAGTTCGCTGCATCG